GCTGCCTGGGTCCTGGCCCTGGACTTGTCCTTCTTTTTCTCCCTCATTATCTTCTCCCTTTTTCTCCTGAGGCTAGATTTCTCCTCCTACCTTCTACTTATTTTCTTTGCCCACCAATTCTGCCTATCTCTTCTCTGCCTAGCTATTTACTGTTCAGTTCAGCTTCCTACTGGACCAATTATGTATCTTAGGTAGGCAAGGTGAAGTAAATGCAGCATATCTATACATAATTAAACAAATATGGCACAAACAAGTGTGACGTATCCTTACATGGTTAAATGTAGAATAAACAAATGTACTACACATTTACACAGTTAAAGTAATATTCTTCAGCATAAACAAAAGTAACACACATTTTTTTAGTTAAAATAATATTCCACAACTCTCAATGGCATTTGTGTACATATTTGTGCAATATTGTTTTGTATGGATATTATTTGTTGATTCGTTGGTTTTCAGTTCTATGGTGCTTTGTGTGTTTTTTGTTTATTTGTGTACTTTTTGCTTTTGTTTTTGCTTTAGGGAGACAAAAGAGAAAGTCAAGGAGTTGGGTGGGTAGGGAGTGGATAGCATCTGGGAGAAGTTAGGGAGGGGGAAAGTGTTCTTAGAATATACTGTATGAAAAAAGTTAAATGAGAAAAGAAAAACAAAGAAACCAATTACAGACTCCTTTGCAGCATATACCTTGTCTGGAAAATAAGTTTCCTAGGGATCTTCTCCACTACACACTATACATTTTGATTTTCTTGCCATAATATTTTTTATTGTACACCTGCATAACAGTTATCAGTAACAGTCACACCACAAATTCAACATTCTATAGTCGTGAAACTTTTTCCACCAAACAAATTAGCTCATTGCTTTTAATTTAGCCTTACTCAACCTTCTGGGAGAAAACATAAAGCAGTCAGATTCTTTCCAAAATGTCACAGGGACATCCTCTAGTCTAGTTGTTAAATTATCCTTGGCATTTTCAATTGCAAGGGACATATCACAATCACAGTCTGTTAATTCTCTTTGTTCAGATATATCTCAGAGAATAACAACCTCATCTAATACTATTAACCCTTACAAATATATTCCAGTGATTAATGGATAACACTGAAAAACAGCCAAACTTAGCATCTCTCAGATACCACAGCTGAGTATTTGTATAATTAAAACTCGTGTTCACAAACAGCTATAAATTAGTCTTTCTTTTGAACTGATAACTTACAATGGTAGTTCAATGGTGCCTGATTTTGTAATAATTATTCTATTGAAAAATTAAATGGTTGCAGAAAATAAGATCACAAAATCACAGAATGACAATTATATGAGAATATTTCATTGCTAACTAAATGTGGCCTCTGAATTTCTCTTGATTTCCAAATATATCTCTTCTTTGTGATTTCTTTCTCCTTGTATAAAAGGAACAATGTCAGATCATTTAGTTTTCCATTTCATAATTACTTTTCACCCAAATGTCATGCAAACTTGAGTTAGGCTCAGGAAGTCACCCTAGGCCTCATGATAATTCAAGTTAGGCTCAGGAAGTTATGCTGGGCCTCATGCCCAGGCATCTTTGGCCCAACACTGGTAAAGCATTATACAGATATTAAGAGACCATGGATGCCATCCCAGACTACTATACCTAGCAAAACTTTCAATCACCATTGGAGAACAAAACAAGATTCCATGGCAGAACCAGATTTAATCAATACCTAACCACAAACCAAGCCCTACACAAAGTACTAGAAGGAAAACTCCAACCCAATAAGTTTAGTTATATCCACAAAAACACAGAAAATAGATGATTTCACAGAAACAAATCTCAAAGAAGTGAAAATACATACAATACATCACAAACAATGAAAACTGAAATAATAGGACCAATCAATAACTGTTCATTAGCATCCCTTAAAATAAATGAAGTCAACTCACCTACAAAAAGACACAGGCTAGCAGATTATATATGAAAACAGAATCTATCCTTCTGTTACATACAAGAAACACACCTCAACATCAAAGAAGACATTACCTTAAAGTAAAGGACTGAAAAAAATTTTTCCAATCAAATGGACTTAAGAAACAAACTGGTGTAGCTATCCTAATATCTAACAAAATAGACTTCAAATCAAAATCTATCAAAAGACACAAAGAAGAACATTTCATATTAGTTACAGGAAAAATCCATCAAGAGAAAATCTCAATACTGTAAGTCTATGCCCCAAATACAAGGACCACCTCGTATGGAAAAGAAACACTTCTAAAGAGTAAATCACACATTAAATCCCACACACTAATAGTAGGGCACTTCAAGACCCCACTCTCACCACTAGGCAGGACTGTCAGACAGAAAATTTAAAGAAAGATAAGGGAACTAGCAGATATTATGAATCAAATGGACTTAACAAACATCTATAGAACAATCCACCCAACATAAGAGAATATACCTTCTTCTTAGTACCTTATGGAACTGGCTCAAATGTTGACCACCTGAAAAGTAACAAAGCAAACCTCAACAGACATAAAAAAATATGGAATAATCCCATATATCTTATCAGATCACCGTGGCTTAAAATTAGAATTCAACATCAATACTAATTTCAGGAAGCCTAGAAACACATGGAACTTAAACAATACTCAACTGAATCATCAATGGGTCAAGGAAGAAATAAAGGAAGAAATCAAATACTTCCTAAAATCATAGAAAATGACCACACAACATACCCAAATTTAAGGGACACAATGAAAGCAGTATTAAGAGGAAAGCTCATTGCACTAAATAGTTACATAAAAAGCTAGAAAAATCCCACACCAGTGAGTTAACAGAACACCTGAAATCTCCAGGAAAAAAAAGAAGCAAATTCACCCAGAAGGACTAAATGGCAGGAAATAATCAAATTGAGAGCAGAAATCAATAAAATAGAAAAAAAGACAACAATATAAAGAATCAATGAGACAAAGAGTTGGTTCTTAAAAAGAATTAACAAAATAGACAAACCTATACCCAAACTAACCAAAAGACAGAGAGATCATCAAAATGAACAAAATCAGAAATAAAAAGGGGGACATAACAACAGATGTAGAGGAATCTTAGAGAATCATCAGGTCATATTTTGAAATACGTATACTACAAAAAAATCAAAACTTAAAGGAAATAGACATTTTTTCTTGATAAATACCACTTACTAAATTAAATCAAGACTGGATAAGCTAATTAAATAGACCTATAATGGCTAAAGTATTAGAAACATTCATTAAAAGTCTCTTGACCAAAAACAGCTCAGGACCAGATGATTTAAGTGCAGAATTCTACAATATTTTCAAAGAAGAAGTAATATCAATGTTCTTCACATTTTCCACACAATAGAATCAGAAGGAACATTTCCAAACTCTTCTTTTGAGGCTATAATTACCCTGGTGCTCCCACAAAAAGACAGTATTACTAAATAAAATTACAGACCAATCTCACTCATGAACATTGATGCAAAAATACTCAATAAAGTACTAGCAAACAGAATTCAAGAAAAACCATCCACCATAATCAAGTTAACTTCATCCCAGAGATGAAGGGATGTTTCAACATGAAAATTTGTCAGTGTAACCCACCATATAAACAAACTGAAAAAAAAGTGATCATCTCATTACATGCTGAAAAAAGCCTTTGAGATAATACAATATCTCTACATGATAAAAGTCTTGAAGAGAGCAGGGATAATACAAGGAATATACCTAAACATAACAAAAGCAATATATAGTAAGTCAACAGCCAACATAAAAACTAAATGGAGAGAAATTCAAAGTAATCCTACAGAAATCAGTAACAAGACAAGATTGTCCACTCTCTCCATATCTATTCAATACGGTACTTGAGGGTCTGGCTAGAGCAATAAGACAACAAAAGTAGATCAAGTGGACACAAACAAGAAAAGAAGAAATCAAAATCTCACTATTTGCTAATAATATGATAGTTTACATAAGTGACCCCAAAAATTCTACCAATGAACTTTTACAACTCATAAAAACCTTCAGTAATGTAGCAGGATACAAGATTAACTAAAAAAAAAAATAAGTAGCCCTCCTTACACAAATAATAAATGGACTGAGAGATAAATCTCACTCTTCAAAATAGCCACAAAAATCTTGGAGTGACTCTAACTAAATAAGAGGGAAACCTGTATGACAAGCTCATTAAATCTTTGAAGAAAGAAATTGAATAAAACGCCAGATAATGGAAAGATCTCCCATGCTCTTGGGTAGGTAGAATTAACATGGTATAAATGGCAATCTTATCAAAAGCAATCTACAAAATCAATGTAATTCCCACCAGTATTCCAGCAAAATTCTTTACTGACCTTGAAAGAACAATACTCAACTTCATATGGAAAAGTAAAAGACGGAGGATAGCCATAATAGTCCTGTATAATAAAGGAACTTCCAGAGGTATCACATTCCTGACTTCAAACTCTACTACAGAGCTACAGTACTGAAAACAGCCTGGTACTGACATAAAAACAGACAGAGGACAAATGAAACTGAATTGAAGAACTGGATATTTATCTGCACACCTACAAACACCTGATTTTTGCCAAAAAAAGCAAAAGGTTTAGAACGGAATAAAGGAAGCATATTCAACAAATGATGCTGGTGTAAGTGGATATCAAACTCAAGTCCAGATCAAAGAACTCAACATAAAACCAATCACACTGAACCTCATAGAAGAGAAAGTGGGAAGTACACTTGAACACATTGGCACAAGTGACCACGTCTTAAATATAACCTTAGTAGCACAGACACTGAGAGAAACTATTAATAAATGGGACCTTCTGAAGCTGAAAAGCTTCTGTAAAGCAAAGGAGATGGTCAATCAGACAAAACTGCAGCCTACAGAATGGGAAAAGCTCTTCACCAACTCAGTGTCAGACATTAGGCTGATCTTCAAAATATACAAAAAACTCAAAAAATTAATCATCAAAAGGACAAATAATACAATAAAAAGTAGAGTATAGGCCGTAGCTGTCGCTGCTCCCGCCGTCACCACCTCCGAGAAGATGGCTGTGCCTCCCACATATGCTGATCTTGGCAAGTCTGCCAGGGATGTCTTCACCAAGGGCTATGGCTTTGGCTTAATAAAACTTGATTTGAAAACGAAGTCGGAGAATGGATTGGAATTTACCAGCTCAGGCTCCGCCAACACAGAGACCACCAAAGTGAACGGCAGTCTGGAAACCAAGTATAGATGGACTGAGTACGGCCTGACGTTTACAGAAAAGTGGAACACAGACAACACCCTGGGTACCGAGATCACCGTGGAAGACCAGCTCGCGCGTGGGCTGAAGCTGACCTTCGACTCATTCTTCTCACCTAACACTGGGAAAAAGAATGCTAAAATCAAGCCAGGGTACAAGAGGGAGCATATCAACCTGGGCTGTAATGTGGACTTTGACATCGCTGGGCCCTCGATCCGGGGTGCCCTGGTGCTTGGCTATGAGGGCTGGCTCGCTGGCTACCAAATGAATTTTGAGACTTCCAAGTCCTGAGTGACCCAGAGCAACTTTGCAGTTGGCTACAAGACGGATGAATTCCAGCTTCATACTAATGTGAATGATGGGACGGAGTTTGGTGGCTCCATCTACCAGAAGGTGAACAAGAAGTTGGAGACCGCTGTCAATCTCGCCTGGACAGCGGGGAACAGTAACACTCGCTTTGGGATAGCAGCCAAGTACCAGGTCAACCCTGACGCCTGCTTTTCGGCCAAAGTGAACAACTCTAGCCTGATCGGCTTAGGGTACACTCAGACCCTCAAGCCAGGTATCAAGCTGACGCTGTCAGCTCTGCTGGACGGCAAGAACGTCAATGCGGGTGGCCACAAGCTTGGTCTAGGACTAGAATTTCAAGCATAAGTGAATATTGTACAATCGTTAATTTTAAACTATTTTGCAGTATAGCTACCTTCAGAATTTAGTGAACCTTTTAATGTTGTACGTTGGGGATGCGAGAATCGATAAATACCACTTTAGATCTCCAGGTTAAAAAAAAAAAGTAGAGTATAGACCTAAACATAGAACTCTCAACAAATGAATTTAAAATGCTGAAAAACACTTAAGGAAATTCTCAATACCTTTAGCCATCAGAGAAATGCAAACCAAAACGACTCTGAGATTCCATCTTACACCTGTAAGAATGGCCAAGACCAAAAACACTAATGATAACTTATGCTCTAGTGGATGTGGGGTAAAAAGAACACTTCTCCATTACTGGTGGGAGTGCAAGCTGGTATAGCCTCTTTGGATGTTAGTATGGTGATTACTCAGAAAATTAGTAAACAATCTACCTCAAAATCCAGTAATACCACTCTTGGATATATACCCAAATGATGTTCAATCATACCACAAGGACATGTGCTCAACTATGTTCATAGAAGCATTATTTGTCATATCTAGAACCTGGAAACAACCTAAATGCCCATTGAATGAAAAATGGATAAGGAAAATATGGTACATTTACATAACAGAGTACTACACAGCAGAAAAAAATAATGACATCTTGAAATTTGCAGTCAAATGTATGGATCTAGAATACATTATATTGAGTAAGGTAACCCAGACCCTGGAAGACATATATAGTATGTACCCACTCATTAGTGACTTTTAGTCATAAAACAAAGAAAAAACAGCCTACTCAGGGAACCTAGACAACAAAGAGGACCCTAAGAGTGACATGGATCTAAGCTACTTGGGAAGTAGGAAAAGACAAGATCTCTAGAGTAATTTGGAAGCATAGAAATCATGGAAAAGGGTAGAAGGGAAGGAAGAGGAGTAGAGAAAAATATATAGCTCAATAAAAACAATTTAAAAAACTAACAATCATATATCACTTATCTATTAAAATTGTTTCAATTTAAATAGACAAATATTGATGAGGATGTGAATTAACTAGAACATAGAATATTTGAATACCGCTTGGGAAGGTAAATGATTGTAAACCTTCTGTAAAATAGTTTTTATTATTAAAAAATTAAGCATCTGGGCCTAAAGAGATGGGTATGCAGTTAGGAGAACTGGCTGTTCTTCCAAGATCCAGATTCTATTTCCAGCATTCACAAGGTAGCTCATAAGTGTCATTAACTCAAGTTCCATGGGATATGTCACCTTCTTCTGACCTCCTGGGACACAAAAATAAGAGCCACATACATAAGAGCAGGCAAGACACTCATCCACATAAAGTAATAAAAGAAAAAGGTTTTAAGTTAAAAGCAACCAGCCAGGTGATGATAGTGCATGCTTTTAATCCCAGCCATCGGGAGGCAGAAGCAAGTTGATCTCTGTGAATTTGACGACAACTTGGTCTACAGTAGTTAGTTCCAGGACAGATAGGGCTGTTACTCAGTGAAACCTTGTCTTGAAAAACCAAAAAAGAAAAAGGAAAAAAACAGTGAATTACAGATAAATTTTCCTCATTAGCACAGAGGCAAAATACTAAATTAAATACTTGCAAACTGAATACAAAAATGAATAAAAATTATTATCCACCATGAAGTAGGTTTTATACCAAAGATGTAACATGTGAAAATCAGTCAATGAAATCTATCATATTAAAAAAACTGAAAGAAAAAGCCAAGAACATGATAATCTATTTAAATGCTGAATATAACTTTGATAAAATCCAGCAATTCTTCATTTAAAAAAACTTGGACAAAGTAGGGATACACGGAGTATACCTCAATTTAATAAAGGCAATTTACAGTAAGCCTATAGTCAACATCAAATTAGATGGAAAGAAAGTAAAAGCAATCCTACTAAAATCAGAGACAAGACAAACCACTACATATTTATTCAATATAGTACTTGAAATTAGAGATAGAGCAATAAGAAAATTGAAAGAGATCAAGGGGATACAAATTGGAAAAAAGAAATCAATGTATTACTATTTGCAGATAATATTATTGCATTTATAAGTGACCCCAAAAATCCTGATAGGAAATTCCTATAGCTCATAGACATCTTCAACAAAGAGGTTGGATGCAAGATTCACTCCAAAAAAGTAAGTAGACATCCTATATAAAAGTGACAGAGAACTAAATCTGGGATATCCTTTCACAATACATAAAAATAATACAAAATATATTGGTGGCAACTCTAACCAAATAATTGAATTGCTTGTATGCTAAAAGCATTAAAGCATTGAATAAAAACTGAAGGTGATTTAGAAGATGACAAGTGTTCGGGTATAAGTTCCATCTCAAGCCCTCTACCCTGGGAGTTGTCTCAACCTAGATTCTACTCTTGAGAAAGCCCATGGAACAATGACCCCTCCCCAGAGATGCTCAAGACTACACCTCAGGGAATTTAAGCTGTACCCCAGAGAACAAACATGTGGTTTCCTGTCTTTCTTCCCTGGGTCCTCTCTAGGGTGTTGGAAAGCCGTCTCGGAGCATTGTTGTATATTAAACCTGGGCTTTTTCCAATTCGGTTTGATTTGGTTGGATTCAAATTATTGTGCTGGCAGAGAGGTTTATCTGGATGCAGAAACTTTTCAACTAAAAGGGCATGTTCTGTGGGATCCCCTTATCAGGAGATGTTCTGATATTTCTCACACTCCTCTGTTTTTATGACCCAAAGTCTACACAATGAACACACTGAGTTAGGCTTCTGTTTTCACATAAGCTTGCAAAATGAATACCTATCATTCAAGGCCTAATCCCCAAATGCTCTTAGGTGGACTTTATAAAATCTTTAAAATCGCAGCTGACACCGTATGTCCTTAATGCCTAATTTTTTTTTTTTTTTTTTTTGCCTGTGTGGGAATTAGTAAAGAAAACCCCATATGCCCATGGCTTCTGAATACTGTGATCCTGCTCCCCACTCCCATCCCCATTCGCCCTTCCCACTTCTCTTGCTTTTTGTTGTTTGTCTATATTCCTGGCATGTAATCTGGTCGTGCTGGGATTCTCTCTACAGGGATCCATCCCCCCTGTTCTCCTACTCTGAGCTGCATAGTTGTTCTGTCCTTTCCATCAATGGGATCACCTGTGTGTTTCCCACAATTTTTAAGTTGATCAGCTGACACAGTTTCCTAGAAAAAAAGTTTTGTTTGTCTGTGAATATATATGTGTAAACAACGTGGCCACAGTATGCTTGTTTTATGTCTGTGTGCTTGGTTTAAAATCTTTAAAACTTGTAACTCCAAACTACAACAGCTCTGGAAAAATAAAAACATATAAATAGCTGTGATTCTTGGTTGAGGTCAAAACAGAAGCCTCAGTGCCATCTTTGGTAAGAGTACACATGTGCAATGGTTCTTCCAAGGAGACATTCTGCCTCCAATATGTTTTGGCTTACTAAAATATCCCTTCTAATTTTCTTGCCTCTACTAACATTGGTAAGCTGTAAGTGACTCGGTAAACTATGTGTCTAAATTTAACGTATATGTCTAATTTAGATATACCTGAGAGATAATGACTCTCAAGTGCCTTTACAGATCTGACAGCTTCTTATGACAGAGACATGCCAGCTCCTGCAGCATCCTATAGCTCCCCCAAGAAGATGCAAGGTTGTAGAAGACCTTCTGCCTCAAGGCTTGCCTTTGGGTATGGTGAAGCCACCCACACAGCAAAAAGCTGCCTTCCACCTCATCAACTTCCTGTACACTACACCGAGGGATTGATTGTCTCACCCTGCCAAGACAGGTAAATAAAACCATACCCTCACAGTAAAATACATCAGCCTCCTGGGCTCAACAACTAAAGGCAAGTACTGCTTCTAAGACTGGTGTTCTCCAAAGACCACAGAGAAATTTGGGATTGCCTGCATAGCTTGAAAAAAAAAATCTGTCTCACTTCTGCTTATTTACTTATCCGTCTCAGATGTTTGATGGCATTTGATGACTTAGGGTACTGATAGCTCATTATTTGTTAAGTTTCCTGTTAAAAATACAGACAGGTAAGCCAGACCCAAAAAGAGGAATATGGTATGTATTCACTCATAAGTGGATTCTAGCCATAATTAAAGGTCTTTGAGCCTATTATTCGAGATCCTAGAGAAGCTAAATAAGAAGGTGAACCTGAAGAAAATCATGTACTTATCCTCCTGGAGATTGGAAATAGACAAGAGTCCCAGGTAACCTCGGGTGCATGGGGGGGGTGGGATGGTTGTTGGAAGGGGAGAGGGTTAGAGAGAAGGGAGTAGGGGAGGAATGGGGAAAACTCGGGGGACTGAGATGGGGGGAGGGAGGAAGGATGGATATGGGATCAGGGAAGAATATATCTCAACTAAGGGAGTCATTTTAGGGTTTACAAGAGACTTGATTATAAATGGGATCCCAGGTCCAAGGAGAGATCCCCAGATTGTTCTCTGGACAGAGGAGAGGGTGCCTGAACCGGCCTTGGCCCAAAACCATACTGATGAAGATTTTGCTTATCACCATAGATCCTTCATCCGACGATGGATGGTGATACAGACGAAGACCCACATTGGAGCACCGGACTGAGCCCCCCATGGTCCAAATGAGGGGCAGAAGGAGGAAGAACATGAAAAAAAACTCAGGAGCGCGAGGGGTGCGATCACCCACTGATACAAGGGGACTGATCTAATGAGAGTTCCCCAAGCCAGTTGGACTGGGACTGAACGAGCATGTGATCCAACCAGATTTTCTGAATGTGACCGGATTCTCTGAATGTGGCTGGTCAGGAGCCTTTCTGAAAAGCCATTGACAATGACACTGGGACTTGTTTCCTCTGCATATACTGGATTTTTGGGATCCAGTCTGTTTGGATACTCACATTCCTGGACCTGGAGGGAGGGGGGGAGGAACTTGAACTTCCCACAGAGCTGGAAGCCCTGACTGCTCTTAGGGATGGAGAGGGAGGAGGGGGGGGTGGGAGGGTGTTGGGAGGAGGGGCGGAAATGGAAACTTTCATAATTTAATAAACTTTGAAAAAAAAACCCAACCCCCCCCAAAAAAATACAGGCAGGTGTTCCTCTTTCACAGGCTTCATATTCC